CCGCAAAATCATCAAAAAAAGGAAGGAGCTTGAGGCAATGGACACCACTAACCTCAGCGCTAAGCGTCCTCGGACTGTCCAGCACCCAGCTGTGGAGGAGGCCGTCGCCTTCTGGGTCTTGCAGTGCCAGCACCGTGGGGTCGCTCTCACTGGAGATCTCATACGGGCCAAGGCTCAGACTTTTGCGGGATCAATGGGCGTCTCGGAGGAAAACATCCGCTTTTCGAATGGGTGGCTCCACAAATTCCAGCAGCGCCACAAACTGCGAGCTGTCCGCATTCATGGCGAGAGTGGCTCAGCAGATATGGGCGCTCTAGAGGAGGGTCTTCCACACCTCAAGGCCGTGGTTGCTGGTTATACTCCACGTGACGTGTACAACATGGACGAAACTGGTAGGTCTGAGAATACAGTACAGTACTGTACTCATTGTACAGTACAGAAGCATCTCAAAGGCTCACTTTCTGTTCAGGGTTGTTCTACAGTATGACGCCCGACAGAACGATTGCCCAGCAAGAGGTCGAAGGGTTTAAAAAAGACAAGGTACATTATTGCTCTCATCTTGGTTTCCTGCGTTTCTCTGACACTAACAACTATTCTAGACGCGCATCACAGTTGCTCTCACGGCAAACGCTGATGGATCCGACAAACTCCCGCCGTTCTTCATTGGACACGCCAAAAAGCCGCGGTGTTTTGAGCGCAAGACAGCTGAGCGACTGGGCTTTCTCTACCGCAACAACAAGAAATCCTGGATGACTGGCATACTCTTCCAGGAATGGCTGGGAGACGTCGACAAAAGTATGAAGGTAATTTGGGGCATGCCTTGAACATCATCGTTGTGGTACAGTAAATGAGGTTTGACTAACGCGTTGACCACAGCAAAAGGATAGAAAAATCCTGCTTCTCATGGACAACGCTCCTTCACACAATGTTGCTGACCTGGAACTCACCAACATCACGGTCCAGGCTCTTCCTCCTAATACGACTTCAAAGGTCCAACCCATGGATGCTGAGATCATTGCCGCATTCAAGAGGCACTACCGCCGGCTGCATCTGCAGAATGCCTTGGACCGTGACGAGCGCGGAGAAACCAACCTTTACAAGGTTGATCAGCTCACGGCCATGCGTTGGTCGCTGGCTGCGTGGAGCGAGATTTCCAGTGCCACAATCGCCAACTGCTTCCGTCATACGGGACTCATGGACGGTCCGGCTCTGCCGACTGGTGGGGGTGAAAACGAAGCCGGCACTGTTGGCCAGCAGGCCCAGCAGGAGGCAACAGCTGCTGCAGTATAGGAGCAGCGCGTGGTACAGGATCTTGTTTCGGCGCTGGAAAGGCTCCCGCTCCGCAATCCCATGTCAATCGCTTCTCTTTTCAATCCGGCTGAGGAGGAGGAGACGGCGCATGCGGAGCTGACCGATGCCGAAATCATCAAGCTTGTTGAGGATCCGTATGGGGAGGAGGAAGGTGCTGCTGAGGCGGAGGAGGAGGTGGAAAAGCATTCGAAGGCTGAAAAGCTTGCCAGCCTTAGTCTATCCATCGCCCTTCTCGACCTTTCTCAGGAGTCCCATCGTATAGCTCACCGCACCCTTCGCCAAGTCCAAGCTGATCTCCGTAGTGCGAGCACCACTCAGGCCACACTTGATTCCTGGCTGAAGTAGTTTCCTCTCCTCTTTCCACTCCTTTCTTGCAGTGAATAACAAAAAAAAGGTTCTGCGTACAATATTTCTGCTCACGGCGGACAAAAATATTCCCTCTGATAAGTTGTATTTAGCCCTTAGGCTATTCCGTATAACTCATTCCGTAGTCACCATAGAACGAGGTCGGTGGAGACCGAATCCTATAACTTACCGGAGGTTATTCCGTAGCCGGGGATAACTTAGCAGAGGGAAGACTGTACACGAAAACGTAATGGAAGGAGCCTAAAAAAGTCGTGCGTTCTCCAACACTTGTCGAGGATCTGCAGTCAGCCGAATTAGGTAATCTCGTTAAATGGTAAAAGGTAAATGTACTTAACATCGTAAAGCTGCCATATCATTTACCTCTAAACTCCCGTCTGAAATGAAACCACATACTTGTATGATAAATGCCTGTTCAGCATTCATTGCGCGCGCCAAACTTTGGCTAATAATTTGTTAGCTGATGAGATGGCCCATGCCATAACAATCCGTAAATGTCTTGTTTGTACTGTGGATCAATACCCATTAAAGTTTAGTGTTCATAGATCTTGCCTGCTACAAGACGTTTGTGTGAACATTGAATTGGCATACATATTCGCATTGGCATTCAAAAACGCAAGTCTATCGACATCACACGTAGCATCCGATTTAAAACTGGTACAGTCTCACAGAGTCATTAAATAACGCTATTGCCCCGTGACTTGTTCCTATATGTAGTTTTCAGAACAAAGACGAAGTCACGTTGCATTTGCGACTTAGTGGCCTTGTTCGTTCACACAGATAAATGACGCTTTCATGCCAGAAGGTGTTTATTCTGTGGCAATGGACTTACTTGTCCCAATTTGAACTGAAGTATCAGGTGGTCAACGGATACATATACTGACCTGTCATCTTCAGGCCGCCACAAAAGCTCAGTCTACGCGTAATGCCCCAATGAATCTGCAGTAATAGTAACAACCGAATCAACACACAGCTACGATCACAGGCATGTGTGTATTTGTGCGTGCGGCATTCATATTTGATACATTTTGTTTCTTGTTCTTGTGACATTTGTGTTTCTTCTATACTTTGACCACATTTTTACATTTCAAGTAAGTGGTCTGTTGTTGATCCCAATTACGCTGCTCCGTATTTTTTGACAGGCTTCTAGATGTTATCTACTCTGTATGTCGATTCCGTGGTATACGCAGTGATCATTCATGTGAGATCATGTACGGAAGTCATACGACGATGGTGTAGTGTTGTGTATCCTTAGAATACCCTTCCCAGCTCCTGTACACGACATACGCGTTTACATACATTTTCTACACCGCCTTGTATGGCGGATGTAGCGTAGGCAGGTGTACATTGCTTTTTTATTCTTTTCAGATGGTAGAGCGCAGCGTTAATAAATAAATTCGGTCGATTAGTTTGTGATTTATGCTCAAAAATAAGTGATGGCTGATCGAGAATGTGGTAAGATGCAGTGCTACGAGGCAACTTCTGATATGTGTGTGTCCAGCTGCTGAAAACTACTCTTGGAGTACCACATCGCGGCAGCGCGCTGTCCAACGCGTCATTCCAGAGTGCGACGAGTTTGATGGTCAAGAAAGTATTAGAGGAAGCTCATAAAGGAGTCCATCGACGTGACCCGGTCGCTGAAATGCCTTTCGAACATGTGTTCAGCCTTGCCTTATTCTAGGGTTGGTCGCGACCATAAGAAACATTTGACGACTTTAGGTGTTGGTAGTGCTAACCAGCTCGTTTCGATTACATATATTGCCTCGCACGACACGTACGTCTGAACAACACAGCAAATAGAGCGATGTAGCGTCGTGCAAGAAAATAATGAGGTATGGTTGAGTCACGTTAGCAACCCATCTCCCCCATAATTGCACAATCACCACAAGTTGGAAAAAGATAGCTGGTCAGTACCGAATCCACTGATTCTACTGCTACTGTTTTATCTTGTGTAAGCACGGCGGCGCGTCAGCTTTCACCTGTTGGGCTTGCTGCTTCAGGTCGGACCAATCCAGCAAAAATATACAATGCCGAAAGAAGCGTGCTAATCCGTGTGACGCGATTGCCATTTCTAGCTCTGAAATATGCCCTATACGATGCTGAGACACTATCACTTCAACATTACCTAGCAAAGTGGCGCCAATTATAGACGGACCGCTTCCGTCTGGGTAGTGAGTGAGGTGCGAGTGGTATATGCACGTCGTGGGAAGACCACACACGTCTTTATTTCTAGCAGGACTAAACGCTTTCACGAAGAGTCGACTTCAGGCAATTAACGACTCACGTAATTACTCATTGCTAGACCAAATTATGGCGACACTGCTAGTCATCCTCTTTTCGACTACACAATGAGGCTTTACAGCCTGACTACGCCGAAAGAGATTCACAGTCCGTAAGTTACTGCGCATCGGAAACAAAATTGCTCTACAGCTCTCAGCAAAACCATTGCCTGGATATGCGACCATCGGCGCAGCTCAACTACTTTTTGTGCTGCAAAAACGAAGCACAGAGCACTGACAAACGGTTTACTATAACATCACTCGCAGCGCCTCTCCATTCAACGTGCACAATACGATGGTGACCATGGAACGGAGCAACATGTGCTAAAGCCCTTTGATTATTTCGACGTGGCAGTGAATGGCATACAGCGACATGTGGGCTTCATCGTGCAAAGCGTACCGTTGGACGAAGCTGTGTGAAGCTACCATTCGTCTTGCTGGCAGTTGTATAGTCGTGGGTTTTTACTAGCGCGAAGTGACAGGAGAGTCGTTGTCCGACAGAAAGAAGGCTGATGTAAAAGCGAGTATGTAGAAGGCCCATGCTAGCAAAAGCCTTCTGCATGCGCTGTGTATTGATGTCAATGTACGAATATGTGGGCACGACCTCTTTCGTCACGACCGGACATAGGGGTGTAGGAAGACAAAAGGAAAACGTGTGCTGATGTAGCTCTCGCCAGCTTCTGACAGGCAGAAGACAAGTCGCAAAGGTACTATTCCCCCCTACTTTGCCGAGTGCGTAGCCATGTACACAAAGAAAGCGCTCATGCGTGTCGCGTGATTCTTCGTACAACAGCACCAAAAAAGCAGACTGTCAGGGAGATTGGTCGTTTACTGAACGTAGCTTCCATTAGTAGGATTAGGCTGCATTGCCGCAATCTACATCGATGTTCACAGCCTGCGTCAGTGATACTAGTGTGCGAACCATAGAAGTAGCTTATATTCTTGCTGAGGCACAAGTGTCTCATTCTACCCGGCGGTAGCTGTACCAAGGATCGCTACAAGGGTCTTGCACGCGAAACGATAAGACGCTACAATTCACAAGACACTTTAGCAAGGGAATGGTCTCGAGGCATTGACCGGGGCATTGCCCGAGGCACTGTACGGCTCAGCAAACATGTAGCTGTGCCCGCCCGTCTGGTATTTCGGCCCGGTCGTCTGGTGGTTTTGCTTGGCCGTCTCGTCGTCCTGCTCGGGCGTGTCGTCGTCCTGCTCGGGCGTGTCGTCGTTCTCCTTGAGCTTCTCGTCGTCCTCGTTGAGCGACAACGACACAGGAGTGCGCGATCCAGCCACGCCGTTGCTCGGCTCGGCCTTCTCGACGTCTTCGGACACGGATGAGGCCAGACCGGCCATCAAGTCCATCAGGTCGATGGGCTCGTCAATGGACCGCGCAGAGGTCGAAGACTTGCACTTGGGTTCAAAGCCGTCGGCCATGGCCTTGACGTTGAAGAAGATTTGGCTCGTTGGGATCCACAGCTCGCAATTGGGCGGGTTTGAGTTCTGCACTAGCTTGATGAGGTTGTGGCACTCGTTCGCGTTGCACATGGCGGCTTCCTGCGCGGCGTTCGGCGACGTCTTGGACGACATCAAGTCGAAACCCGATTTGCTCGCGCACCCTACAAGATCCGGCGAAGACACGAGTCCCGACATCGAAACAAATGCAGCTTGCTGCTGGCCTTCGTTGCAGTGATCAGCGTTCACCGAGGCAGCAAGAGTCAGGGCGATGGCAACGAGGGCGAAGTGAGTGTTCATCGTGAGCGGAGGAATGTGGTGCGGGTTGGAGACGGCAAATTGCGGAATGCGATTGACGCGGAGGCAGCAAAGGAGCGTCGAGGCCACAGACGGACGTCTGCGCACTCGACTCGACGGAGGAGCAGGAGCCGTCGTCCCGCTGATCTGAGTTGCCCGAGTTCAACAAAACCGGTCGACAACGACCCTGAAAAGGGCCATTTCGTTGCCATAGCTGCGTGGCCGCTCCGCCTCTGCACGATTGGAGAGCCAAAAAGGCGCCCGAGGCGGAGAGACGCGAATCTGCTAACTCAAACGCGGAACAGATATCCTCTCCTACCATGTCACGCATCTCTCTGTTCGCCGGATCAGGGTCCTCCCGACGACGTCTGCAAAGTAGTAGCGTGCCCTTGAGTTCAGAAAAGTCCACTGGCTGCCTCAGCGTTCACAGCGGGCCCTTGAGCTGGTCTGAATCTGCGCCGCAGTTTCCTGATGATATCAGAACTGCGTTCTGTCGCTCGGCACCGGCTTTGTGTCAACCGACGCACAGACATGAACCGCCCAGTCATTGACCTGCAGAATGTATCAAGCAGCGGTGGCCATGTGGAAGCAACGATAGCTGCAGTGTCGACGACAGTTGCTACCGTAGGTAAAGGTGCTCGCATTGCCAGCAGCTGGCACGAAAACGCAGATCAAAACTGCAATGTTCACGCTGAGTGGGCATTGTAGAGATCCCACATACTTCGGATGAGCTAAGAGTGGCCAATACGACTTTCGCTGTGCTGAGAAATTCTCAAGGGTCCACTCGACGTAAAGGCGGTCCAAATTATGACCTCTTCAAGCAGAGAAACGAGCGATTGAGCCTGTTGCCAATAGTAGGAAGGAGGTTGATGCACTGCGTAGGCGTAGTGAACATGATGACCATGCGCCGCATTTTTCACGCCATATTGCATGCGGTATGGGAGCGAAATCGTGCCTGAATTGGAGGTCGCAAGAGAAAACATGAACGTGACGTACATGCCGAAGGAGTAACTACGTAGACATATACGCCCAACCATCGCACCAAACCGACGGCTGAACTTCAAACCTATACACGTCCAGCTTAATCTGACCGAGCACGGTAGCAAGTCTGTGGTCGCCAACAGAGTACCCATTTCTTCCTGGATGTTCAATGCCGTGCTCGGTCACTCTCATGCCAAGAAAAAAGTCGCATCAATATCGGAATTAAAAAGCGCTTCTTGACTGTCGTGTCTTTTGCCAACTCTCTGCTTTGTGTGCGAGCCGAAAGTATGCGAGTTAAGGTTATTGGAGCATGAATGCTCTACTGTCTTGCCCGCGTCACACGAAGAGTAAGGCTTGACTTGCGATCAAAGTGCTGTATGACCAACTGGATCGCCAACGACTCTGCAAATTGAGCGAGAAATGCACGCTACTCAAACATCTTGCCTGCTTATAGGAGGAGACGCTAAAAGCGAAGAGGATCGTCGCGCTCTCTCCTTTTTTTGGATGCTGATCCACGTGTTTCCACTTGGCGAATGATAGTGTACACCGTACCGATCTCACACAGCGACAACATACGACGTTGACGAGCTGGTATAACTGCGGTAGATGGTGGTTGGGCGGTGGTAGATCTTCGTCCTGTTGGACAACAGATTATCCAGTACGTGTGTTTCAAGAGGGGCGTCATCGCAGACGGTGGAAGTCTCTCTTTATTGGTCCGACGACGCACGAGCGCTTTGACCCGAGTTCCTCGGTAATACACGACTAGCGAGTTGGGATCCAACCAAGTCTGACGCACTGCATCTTGTGCAGAGAATGGTGATGAAGTGCAGAGGGTCTGAACCGGCTTCTAGTCAACCTGTCATACGAAGGACGTCTGTCAATCCTTGCTGGCAAGAAAATGTTGCTGCTGATGGCGCATGGTCGCTGTGGTTGCTTGTCTTTGCACATTTGTAGTAGGCGGTTGCCCACGTCATGTTTGGCGCACAGCACTCTTCTCTCCAACAATTTTTGCCGCAATTTGGTGATCTCGGTCGCGTAAGTCCTGCACCCGTTGCAACTGGCGTCCGCATGCGGCTCTACTTCTCAGGCCGCTTTCACGATAAGTGTGGGGCAAGCAAGCATTCGAGGCATCTTGCATCCGGCTTGCAGTGTACGAGGAGATGGGGGAGCGGTATGTCTATGTATGCGCACTGGACATTCGCAAGATACTCTTGTGCCGCTTGAATGAAGAGAGTCGCGTGCCACTCGCTGTCTTTGCCGCACCACGAGGACTTTCGTGCTACGAACTTTTGCAGCAGCCCTGTCGGTCTCATCCGGAGCTTCGTGATTTCACTGCATCAAGGAGCGAAGCGTCCTTGCTACGTCAAGGAATCTTTCTCGTTGATTGCGTGCGCGGAAACGAGGCCTTGGAAGATAGCTCGATCGCACATATCCACTTACTCGCTCTTACGTGCGGACTCGGACGGCATGGCTGCAGTCGACGACGACACTAGTGCACTTCCGTCACGGCTTCGTGGAGATACAGGAGCGCAATATAGCGTTCCGTCTGCGTCCATACGTCTCTCTTGCTGAGGTCGGTGTCACGAACACTAACAGCAACCACCGTCTCGCTTTCCGCTTGGCGGTGTAGCTCTGATTCGTATTAGGCAGCGATTACTACCAAGATAGCTACAAGCACACACTCCATCTTCTTGCTACCGATTCAAGGTCTATCGGACGCTCCAGTCAATGGGATCTTTACCGTGCTTTTCTAGGTAGCTGTTGGCACGCGAGAAGCACTTCGATCCGAGAAATGGCGCGTTTGTCTTGGTAGCACCCAGCGGTGACGGATGCGAGGATCGCACCACGAGGTGCCGGTTCGAGTCGATCAACAGACCCTTTTCCTGGGCGGGTTTCCCCCACAACAGGAAGACGACGTTCGATGCGTCTTTACTAACCTTCGAGATGACAGCATCGGTAAACTGCTCCCAGCCGCGCTTCTTGTGGGAGTTCGGTTTGCCTTGACGTACGGTCAGCACCGTATTGAGAAGCAGCACTCCCTGACGACTCCAGCACGACAAACAGCCGTGTGAGGGACGCGCAATACCGACATCGCTCATAGCTTCTTTGAAAATGTTCTTAAGGCTTGGAGGTGGCGGGACTCCGTGACGCACGGAGAAGCTCAATCCGTGCGCCTGTTGTGGTCCGTGGTACGGATCCTGGCCGAGAATCACGACCTTGACACCAGAGAACGCGCAGTCTCTCAGCGCAGCAAACACGTTAGCTGGAGAGGGGTAGAGAACCCTCTTGCGCTCTTCTTCGCCCTGCAGAAAGCGTGTCAGTGCTTGAAACGACCCGCGGACGAGATCTTTCTGCAAGAGCGTGTACCACGACTCGTGCATCAGAGAGCGCAGTAGCACTGTCGTTTGCAACTCAGCGAAGCGCGTCACTTGCTTCGTTACACTCTGCTCGTCGTCTTGGTCACCACTTTGATCCTGCTCTACGTCCTGTTTCGCAACGATCATCTCATCGTGCTCACGCGTGACTGTTCGCTGCTCAGACGTGTCAACTCCGTCCATTGTACGGCATTTTTTGGCCGGTGGTGGCGCTGCTCCGAAGAACGAGCGGATATCGCGCGTCATCTTGCGCGTAAAGCTGTGCCACTCAAGTATTTTGCCATTTTCCAGTGTCGGATGGCCTTTTACTGCACCATGTTGCCATTTTTACAGCACCGTTTTGCCATTTGTACTGCACTGTTTTGCCATTTGTACTGCACTGTTTTGCCATTTGTACTGCTAAGTGCAAGGAAGACTCGAGATTCGGCACGAATACTTTGTGGTGCAAAACACTAAATCAAAGCGCACGGAGCCGAGATTTGCCAGCTGAACATGGGCCGCGGCAAGACTCGAGTGATGTTACCAATGCTGTTCCTGCACTTCACTCGAACAACCTGTCCACGAGTTGTTCGCGCACACTTTTGGGATGTTTGCTAAGCGAAACGCGGCATTTTATGCACCGCTACCTGTCAGCTTCCATCGCTCCACTCGACGTGTAAACAGCCGTTTGATCGAAGTAGCGACGTAGATGCTCGGAGGCTCAAGCTCGTTTACGATGCACTTCAAGAGATTCAGCTCTTTGGCGGCATGCAATGGTATCTTCTGAAAACTTTGCATGCCACTGGAACTGAAGCGTTTGGACCCAGGCGACAACAATGCTTTCGCACCGAAGTTGCGTAAGCTTCTTGACAAGACGCACTTTGTTGACATTCTTGACGAGTGTGACGCACTTCGTCATCATGAATATCGTTCGGAATAAGCGGTGAGCACATTAGAACCGCTGTGCAATGGAGTAGAGGTACACAGTCGACAAGGCATCGTTGCGTGTCATGGCAGCTTCCTCGCTGAATCTCTCGAGTAAAGAATGTGCTCCAGACGCCACGCGTGTCGTGCGATGCTCCTGATTAGGCGCCTCAATTGGAGGCTTTTCGAGAAACCCGATTCAATGCGGTCGTAGAACGCACAGAATGTCACCGAAGCGAGCGAAAGAAAGCACTCGTGCTAGGAATGTGTCTGCTGAACTCAGCGGAGCGGGCAGTTGCTGTCGCTCGTATGTGTGACACACGCGCATCGCAATAGCCACGAGTTTCTAACGCGTTTTGATTGGTGCTTTATGTGTTCTTTTTGTCGAATCACACGAGAGAAGTTGTCGCTGCGTAGCGGCCATTGGCTCGCTGTCCGCCACGAACGAGTGGGCGGTCGCCCTCGCAGCAGGCGGCGGCGCGGGCGTTCTGAGTGCGCTCCTCGCGGGTTCCCCACGCTCTGCGGGCCGTCCACCCTCGTCCGTGTCACGGTCGGCATCACCGCAGCGTACCTGCTTCCCATTGGCACGCACAATGGCCTCAACGCGTTCCCCGCCGACACTCAGCACGCGGTAGAAGGTCGTCGTCGCGTTTGTGCTCACCTTTGAGCTCGTGTGCTGCGCGAGCTCCAAGTCGCTCGAGCTCGAGACCCACCGCATGAAGTGCATCGTCTTCTCGGCCATCACCGGCGGCTGGTTGGCGGTCGACGGCGTCTCGGGGCTCACTCACTCGACGCTGTCCGGTCGGACGTGGCCTACCCGTCGATCCAGCGCGGCGGCACTGCTGCGCTTTGAGACACAGACGCGGGCTCACAGACGCTCATGATGTCGTGTGGGCCGCCGTCGTTGTCATTGGCGGCCTCAACCAGCTCTTGATGCGCTGATGTCTCATGTGCTACGACCGCGTGGCGCTCACGCGCAGCTCGGACCGGTGGGAGAGCAACTGCCGACAGGCGCGACGCTGCCGGCTCAGAAGCTCACGGAGCGCGTGCGACTCGTGTGCGATGACTCTTATGCGACGGCGTTCTGCGGCACAGCGTTTTGCACGGAATGTGGCGAAGCGATGCCGTCGGAAGATGAAACCGGACGTGAGCATGTCGCAGGCGCAGATGCCGTCGGGTACGATGAACCGCAAGAGCCAAGCGCCGGAGCGGCGGCAGCAAGTGTTGTATCGCACGCACCTCTGTACAACTTGGTTTGTGGACCCCAAGCGCGTGAAAGAAGGCGGTGTGAGCATAGAGGGCAATGGACACAATATCCGCTCTACAGACTTCGGCATGCAAGGCGTGGATGGCAAGATGGGGCAATATAACGACTCGATTACTGGAGTCCACAACTACTACGAACCGTCGTTTCGATCGTTTGCCATGTCGACGTACTCGATTGCGAACTGAGCGGCGGAGATTGTTGAGACGCCGGACATCTCGAAGTACAAGATGTCGGGCAGTGGTATGTTCCACGTGTTTCGCGTTGGCACGGCGGCTACGGGTGTTGTCTGGCTGCACTACTTGACGACGATGTACCCGCAGCAGCACTTTGTGACCACGCGCGGCCGACGCTACCGTGTGACACACACGTTGCTAGCCAGTGAGACGGACGGGCGTTTCAGCTCAACGGTCAACGTTGACGCAGACTCGGGCGATGGCTACTGTATCCGGGACGTGCCATTTATGTCGTGGGTCATATACGCCATGATGATTTCCATCGAGTGTCTTTATTTGTTTTTGGGACTGCTGTCCAACTTCAGTATGTGGCGTCCGATTTGTCGTGGTGCTAGGTACGTGAACGACTTCAAGTCGCCTATCGTCAGGGAACAGTGGCCGGCCTGGTCGACATCTTTTTGTGTCACTACATGGAACCGGTCACGGATTCGATGCAGACACTGAAGAACTGACTTTCGCTGCAGTATGCGGTCGAGCTCGTCTGTAACGGGGCAGCCCGTTACATAGAATTGTCACTTAAAGAATTGTGACAATAAAGAATATGAAGTTGAATATTCTTTGAACAATATCACCGAAGTGGTGATATTGAAGGGTGCGGGCGATGGATACCGTATCCGGAACGTGCCGTTTATGTCGTGGGTCATGTTCGCCATGATGATTTCCACCGAGTGTCTCGATTTGTTTTGGGACTGCTGTCCAACTTTAGTATGTGGCGTCCGATCTGTCGTGGTGCACGGTACATGAACGACTTCAAGCTGCCTATCCTCAGGGAACAGAGGCCGATGGTCGACATCTTTTGGTGTCACTACATGGGACCGGTCACGGTTTCTGATGTAGACACTGAAGAACTGTCTCTTTCGTTGCAGTATGCGCCTTGAGCTCGTCCTCATCTTTGTGCTGGATGTCGGTTATACTGAGTCTGTATGGGTTGCGAACAGCCACTTCAAGGTGACGGTGAGGGCACCAAGGTGATTGAGATTTGTGGTGGAATTCCGTGGCGACCTTGCGCGAATCATGCACGGGCGTGTGGTGGGGCCTGTGCAAGACGATCAGCGCTCGAAGACGTGGCTTCGTCGGCACAGCTCTATCCGTGGACTCCGCGAAGAGGGTGGTAAGGGTGTGCAACGTCGTTGGCTCGCATTCGACGACAACGACTACCGTGACCGTGGTATTTCGCGTGTGACTTTCATTGGACGAATGAACCCCGAGACGCACCACTCGAAGGTTGCTAGCATGATCAATTGCTTGTTCAACGAAAGTGCTGACGGCACGTAATTGCTGATTCTGGATAACGACACGAAGCCGCACCCGAAGCTTTTGCTTGCTGTGCTGTCGTCCTTCCTGTTGGAAGGCGAGGCTGTTGACGGTAAGGGACGTCGGTACAGCGACTATAATTTGTGAACCCACGTGTCGTACGTGTAGACTCCTGCAGACTCCTCAATACTTTGAGGCATGCCTCAGTTGACGATCATGGGTGATGTACGGGCACAAGAATATAATTTGCTTTGACGCCGTGCAGCGTGGCCGTGATGGTTTCGACTCGGCAGCTTTTGCTGGTACGAATGCTGTGTTTTGTCGTCATGCCTTCGACTCGATTGGTGGCATTCCGTACGATACTTAGACTGAAGATGCGTCCACGGGTATCGTGATCCACACTTCTGTTTGGGACTCAGTGTACTTCCGGAAGGATTTCGAAGTCGATACCAAGGACGGTTGTGCGAAGGTGCTGTTATGAAGCAGTGACTGCTACTATGGGTCAGAAGAAGCGTTGGGAAAAGGGTGCTGTGCAGATTCTGCCGATGCAAAATGGAAGCGAAGTCGGCCCGGACTGGCGTCCACCGCGCGTGCCGGACCCGAAGCCCACCCTTACGTTTCCGCGCAAGATGTTTTTTTACGACTCGGTGCTGTGCCCGTTTGTTCGATTCCTACCATGTGTTACGTAGATCGCCGTCTCGCTACTTGTACATGGGCGACGCTCCGATCTACGCTCGTGAAACGTAGATCCTGTACTCTTCCTGCCCGTGAAGCTTTGTTGTTGGGTGCTGAACCTGCTGGCCAATTGCGCAGTCGACAACAACGACGTGCGGCGGACGCAGCAGACAACAACGACGTGCGGCGGACGCAGCATACATGGTTTTCGTTCACGTCCATTACGATGATTGGGCGGTTTTTGAGAACCTTCCAGGTGCGCGTGACGGGGAAGGACAACTCATGAGAAAACACGTGTGCTGGTCAGAAGACGTCGTGGATGGACATTCCGAACGTGCTTTTCTCATACGCTGCTGTTCATTAACTTGTGGCACGCGTCCGTGTGTTCAAGTAGGAGAACTCGGCGAATCCGTGGAAATACGTGTCTGCCATGGTCTGTGGCTTTTTCGTCATGAGCCGGTTTAACCCCATGGTCAAGAAGAGTGTTCCCGAGTCCAGCAGCTGGGGCCATACTGCTACCGCCTTTTCGGCGAACGTGTTTGGCTCGTTGCTCGTGGTCTACAGTGTGGTCTTCGTGCAGCTATGGCAAGTCGACTACGCGGGAAATCTCCAGGTGGCCCAAGGCATCGTGGTAGGCTCGAATGACCCGGCGGTGGCGACGAAACCGGACGCACCGGATTGTGTCGCGAAGACGTGGATGGTGCTTAGTCGACGAGGAGCAGAGGGAGACACAGGATGCGATGCACGCCGAGCGCAGGTGACGAGAAGAGGTGGTGTGGTCTATCTGGCGAGCCGGAGACGCGCTCGCAAGTGCGCGCTATCGTTGTCGCTTTTGGTGACTGGATATTTGTATGCATAAAATTGCTTTTGCCAGAGTCGGTTGGTGTGACTGGTTGGGTCTACTCGTAGGTGTTCGATGCGCATGCCAGGAAGCGCGTAGGAAGGCTGATCACTAATCTGCGATCGACATCACGTCAGTGAAATGGTGTGACGAGCTCCTTTTTCCCGTCTTTATCGGTAGCATCGGCCGCCAAGAGGGTCTCCTGCTTGTTCAGCGTTGTCGGAGTCGCCAAGTAGCTGTACGTCGTGCTGCTACAATGCGTCGTCACAGCCTTGACGTGTCATCACATTGTGCCGCCGATACCGAGTTGTCGATCCTTGCGATATGGGCACTGCTGTCTATCCTCTCGTGCATTTGTGTCTTGTCCGCGCGTGGCAATGGCGTCAAATGGTATGTGCACTTGAGCAAACGACATTGGCCGCCTCTGCTCGACCGTCTTTGGTCTGACGTGCAGTGAATCGTTACGTGTCGTGGTTTTCAATTGTGCTGGAGGATGTAGGAAGTAAAAGCGATACATATATATTGAGAGTAATGTGCAGTCGGTTGTTGACGATACCTGTTGCACTTGATCACGTCAAGTTACACCTGGTACACGTTTAGCAAGCCCATCAACATGTGCTCGGTCTTGAACAATGTCGTCCGGACATGGCTGTCTCATGGATCATCTCTTAATAGTCCTACATGTGACGACACCCTTCGCTTGTACCATATGTCATTCGGTTAGCTTACCAAGATCCTACCTACATAACTAGGTGTTCCAAAATTATACGATCAGTTACAAAACGGGAAAAGCAGCGAGCGACGACGGGTTATTGGGCAGATGCGACGCCGAAGCCGTCAGCAGTTTCTTACCAGGCGGCAGTGAATTTCTGCAAATACTGAAGGAAATGCGAGCGGACCACATTTGACTCGCCTCGGAGAGTGTCTGGAACGGTCGACAGAGCGTCTCCGCTGGTCATTCAAGCGAGTGGTCAATCGGGTGAGTAATCAGCATGAATCAGCTTTGCGGTCTTACCATGGTGGCGCTTTTACCGTAAATATGACAATGGCTGATAAATTTGCGTCTGAATGGGCGCCGATTTCAAGCTTCAGTCACCGGTCTGAAGCCCTGGACGCTTTGCCTACCGCGTAAATGAACAACGCTTTGACCATTCCGGAGGATAGGGCAAGCTGTGTAACGTTACGAAAACGGCTCATGGATTCTACGAGGTGAGGGTAGCGTATCCAGTCGACGTCGTGTCGCGCTTCACAGAACTTTTCTCTTATTTTTGTGGGTATGTGACCAGATTCGGCTTGCTCTTTCCAATGAGGACAACGATCGTCTGCTGCGGCCGATTACGGAAGGCGAGGTGCTTCAAGCTCTTCACGGACTTGCCAGGCAAAAATCAGCCGGGCAGGATGGATTTAATAATAATTTCTACAAGGACACGTCTGCTATCATGGTTCCCTGCGCTGGTTTACCACAAGTAACCAAATTCTAGACGGGGCAGACCTACACTCCACCGTTTTCAAAGGCGCTAATCATTCCGAATCGCCAGAAAGGTGACTCAGACGATGCTATAAATTATCGACCATTTCGTTACCGCAAACCGGCTAAAAGGTATTTGCAAAAGTTCTGGCGACAGGTTTACAGTGTATCTCTTCTTCGGGTCACTAGTATTGCTCAACAAGGCTTCGTTAAAGGGAGACGTATGGCCAAAACGGTTATGATGATGATGGCACATCTGGCGACGGCGACAGACCAACAGGATATGGCAGTGCCTCAAGCAGCAAGTGTATTTTGCTGTTAAACTTGCGGAAGGCTTTAGACACGGGTGACAGAGATTTCCTCGTGCGCAAAACTATGACGACTGCTTGGGTTTGATTTACGCTTTGTTAATCGGCCCCGACGTATCTATACGGGTACAACAGCCAATTTCGTCGTCAACGTAATCATTCAAAGCCACTCCAGGTGAAGTCTGGTATTAGCCAAGGATGCCCTCTCGCGCCTCGGTTATTTTGATGGTCGTGTAAGTGTAAAGTCTTGCTCTTCACCAGGATCAAAGTCTTACGGGGTTAGCAGCACCAAAGAGACTCGGGATGACTAACTCTTCTCGGCACTTGTGGATGGGAATCAACTCTGTTTCCTAGAACGAGCTGCCAAATATCTCATGCACCCGATATTTTACGAGCCTTCGGAGAGTTATCTGGCCTACATGTTCAACGAATCAAGAGTCAGGTACTCTTTTTAAACCGAGCCATCAACTTGAAAGAGTATAGGGGTATTGCTGTGAGTCCCCACAGGGACAACAACCAGGTACCTCGGGCCCCGAGATCGATACAAAGCAAGCTCGTTAACAAAAATTGGGCGGTACGCATATAGCGGATCCAGCGCCGCCTACTCACAGTGACACGAGTAGCTACGAGAGTGTGATGAACTGACGTATTGATCCTCAACTATATCGTGCTACCGTCCACTATAATTTACGGCTATAGTGTTTGACATACCGCGGTGGGCAGGAGCTAGAGATTTCACTAATTCACGTAAGCCAGTTTTGTGGGTGCATGCGACTATCGACAGAAAGGAGTCGCCACAAAGCAAACTTTGGGCTGCTTGTGACTTCTAAGAACGCGGGAGGCATAGGCCTTGCCGACGTATCAGTGGCTATCAAAACTCAACGTATCAAACATGCGATTACTTGGCTAACTCAAAAACCCGACCAATACTCAGCGGCTTGGAGGGTCTGGAGTTTCGGGGGCGCCATCGAAAGGGACGTAGATATCGTGACTCCAATTTAGGCACCACAGCATAAACAACCTCATCGGCGACGTCGTCAGAGTCAGCTGTTACGGCAAGAGCTTGGGGAATGGGTGGCGCCATTACCAGAGACAAACCAAGACCAAATCAATACTTGGTTTAACAGGCACTGGGAAGAAGTTGCTTGCAGGGGCCTCCTAGCTGGTGGGAAGAAGACGAGTATGTGATTTCGTATCACAACATCTTTCCAAAACGACTCCTAGGGGCTGAAGACATGCCGGACGCTTCTACAGAGGTTTTGGACCACGTTTAACTGGAGTGCTTACCCCTGGATCCGCGATCATAGAGGCAAC